GATCCCCCCAACCTCCACACTTACCCCAAGTTTAGTAGCTTGAAACAAATTTATTCTCTTACAGTTACAGGGCTAACCTGAATGGCAGCAGAGCAAGTTTCCTTCTGGGGGATCCAGTTCTTTGTGTCCCCTTGGCTCAAGGCCCTAAACCTCATGCTGCTTCTTCTCTGCCTTGCCACTCTGTCACCCTCTTTGTCTGGCCTTACTGTGTCCCTCTGATAACAATTCTTGTATGGTAGGGGCAGGGGTCTGGCCTGGATGCTTTGTTCTCTTATAGAAAGATTTGAAAATAAGGGCTCACACAAATTTGCAAAAGTAGCAAGATAACCATATTTGGAACAAAGGGATAGGACAGGTTATAGAGAGTACGCTATCAATATTGATGTCAGGCCGCATGAGTGAGAATACTCTAGGGCTTGAGTTATTGTTTGGGAATTCCTTTCACGAAGTTCAAGAGGAGGGACTGGTTACTAAAGATGTAATTTGGATGGTTCTCTATTTTGATGGATAGATTAAGTCATGTGTTCATTTTTCCTACTTTGCATGTCTTTTTCCATTAATGTATCTGATTTTAGTCATACACACACCTAATTATGCATAGGCATTAGATGGTAAAAGGGGGATTCTCCCTAAACGGTTACTAGTGGGCACACGTTTGCCTTACTGAGCGTGTACCCAAAACCAGTTCAGACTGCATCTTCTATTCTTCAAACCCAGATACATTAGGAATGAATATGCTTGAATACAAACTATCTAAATTTGATTGTTACCAGGGACAGGGAAGTCATACCATTATTCAGGGTATGTGTTGTTTAATGTAGGTATGGGGGGGTTGTAGGTTGCTAGGTACACTGTTTGGAGAGGGGTGTGTGACCATAGTACATGCAGCCCAAGACACTAGGTTGCCATTGAGTGCATTATTTCAGGGTGTGTTTACAACCCAAGTCCAAATGGGGATCCCAAGCTAAACTATCTGCTAAGCCTGCCTCACTTATGATTACGGTTTGCCTACTTGTGGGCTACAGAGATGGCTCAGTGGATAAAGACATTTGCCTCTAAGCCTGACAATCTGAGTTCCATCCTGGGATCTACATGCCACCCAAATATACAAATAATAAATAAATAAATAAATGTAATAAGCATTTTTAATTGACTTACGTGTATAATCTCCTTCCCATCTCACGATCCTTAGTCACATCTGCAAATCTTCTTTTATCATAAAAGGTAGCACCATCATAGGTTCCAGGTTTGAGAACATGGGAACTTTTGGGAGGTCAGGTTCAGCCCTAGAATAGGCCTTTAAGATGGCTCCTGTATCCACAACCACTTTATTTTTTAGTCTTCTTACTTTCTGGCAGAACAAATTATTCCAGACTCATTAGACTTTCGCTGTCCCAACCCTGAACCAGGCCCTTCTTTAAGGAACTCTGAACCCTTTAAGTGATGAAGGGTATTTAATAACAAGTTCTGAAGCTGGATGTGGTGGTACATACCTATTATCTCAGCACTCAGGAGGCTTAGGCAGGAAAATCATAAGTTCAAGGCCACTCTTGGCTACCTAGTGAGTTCCAGGCTAGCCTACACATAGTGAGACGCCATCTCATAAAACAAACAGCAAACAAGTAAATAAATAAATAACTAGAAGCTCTGTGTGCTCAGTGATTTCATTTTTGCTGGGGTATTTGGCTTTCTAGACCCTTGTAATGGCAAGAGATAGAAATTTATACTTTTTTTCCTCTACCTGTATGTCCACCTGTCTCTCCCTCCTTAGGCTAAAAAATGGGAATATGGGCTTGCTCAGGAGGAGGTTGGAGACTAGGCCAAATCTTGACACCATCTTGCTACATAATAGTTAATATTTATTAAATTCTTTCTATATGCCAAGCTAGGTATCTTCCATGTTTTTAATCAGCTCTAGTCATCTTTCATTATTATGAAACATGTGCTTTATTTCGGTTTTCCAGAAGAAGACACTAAGACCCTGAGAGACCAAATAATTTGCTGAAGATCACACAGCTGTAAGTGGCAGCACTGGACCTGGAACTTGTCTATCTAATGCAGGCATCTGTGCTCCTGGTAGCTCTGGTTCACTGTCACTCCTAATATGGCAGAATGACTCAGGCAACATTATCTGCCACTCTTCACATCTTTTGGGAGATCCGGGAGCATCACCTCCACCTAAAGTGATACTGTGGGGTAGTGCATTAGCAGTGACTTTAAAAGCTCACCATTTTCCTTCTCTCTCACTGTAAGGCAAATGAGCACCTGTTGTCTATGTCATAGACTGACTCCCAACCTCACAATATCACAGCTTGCTGTATACTCAGAGAGCCCCTCATGGACCTCAGATATTTTCTCTGTACTTAGGGATAAGTATGTGTGGGTAAGTTAAAGGTTGTCACCACTCTTACTACCAGTGTGCCAAGCCCTGTTAAGACTGATGACCACTAGGACCCACTGTCTAATATAGTCTAGCTGGAAAGCTTTAGAGAAAAAGCCCCTTTGAATATAACAGCTTTTGGCAAGTATGATTTTGTTGGTACTTTTGAGAAAGGTGCTGTTGTGATTTGGCTTTTAAATATCCCCAAAAGCCACATGCCAACGGTTTGGTTGCCAGCCTGTCACACTGTTGAGGCTCGTGGAACCTTTAATAGGTAGAGCCTAATGGAAGGAAGGTAAGTCACTAGGGCCATGTCCTTGAACGGGACTGTGTGTCTCTGACCCCTTCTTCTGTTTCTCCACGCTTCCTGGCTACTATGAGAACAGCTTTTCTCAGCCATCTGCTGCCAACCGTGAAGTTCTGCTTTTCCACAGGACCTGAAACAATGATGCCAAGTTACCATGATCTGAAACCTCTGAAATCATAGGTGAAAGTAAACCTTTCCTCCTTTAAGTTGTGTATTTCAGACATTTTATCATTGCAACAGAAAGCTTACTGATACAGAAAATTGGTACCAAGCAATGGGGTCGTTGCTTTGACTACTTGATGATGTGGTTCAGAAATCTTTGGAATTTGTAAAAGGAATTTTGAAAAATTTTTGAGAAGCAGGCTATTGAAAGACTACAGTGCTACAAGCAGAAATTGATGGGCAGTTCTGGTGATGGCTTAGAAGACCAGAACACTAATAGCAATGTGGAGGGTAAGGAGAGGCTCATGAGGTTTTAAATAGAATGAGAACTCTATTGGAAACCGGACTAGAGGCCATTTGCGTTATATTCTGGCAAAGTACTTGCCTGAATTTTGTACACCCCTGAGCTCTTGTATGAGACTGAGTTTAAAGGCAATGTACTAACCTAGCCAAGGAAATTTCTGGACAGTACAGCATTCAAGTTCATTATTGATGGCTGCTTTGAGTCAGATTTACCATGAGAAGTAGGACCAAAAAGTAGAACGGGAAGAGTTGAGACTTTCAGTTTGGTGAGAAAAGGAACAGTTTTAAAGTCGCAGCCAAGGAGGATCCAAGTGCCTGGGAGATTCACGTTATTAAGTAAGAGCCAAACACCTAGTACCAGCACAATCAAAAGACTCCCTTGAAGGTGTCTCAAGAACCAACAAGCCCCATCCATCACAGCCTCAAAGACTTGTTTGAGAAGAAGACCCTGGGTGCTCTGTGAGCACAGGAATGCCCAGAGTCCTCAGGACTCATTTCACTGTGCTTAACCATGCACACACTCAGAGCCTGCTGTGACTAAGGTCCAAGTGGACCCAGCCACTGCTCAAGTTGGTAACAGACTTCATTGTTGCCCATGTCATGCTGGATTTTCAGGCAGGCAGAATGGAAGAGCTGTGGGACCATGGAGGCCTCCACGTGTATATCAAAGGGTACCCCGAGAGACCAGTCATAGTGTGGCAGGGTCAGAGTTCCTGTAGGTAACTCCTGCAAGGGCAATACCTGAAGCCATGAGAGTGAAGCCAAAGTGTGGTGAGAACCTGAAAAGTTAGAGATGCCAGAAACGTGGAACACAGTGATCAGAGCCAGCCTAGGAGAGAGGCCACGTGGGCTGCAGCCAGCAAGGCACAGGGAAGGGACTGCTCAAGTCATTTGCGGCTCACATAACACTGCTGTGTTGGTAGACATGGACTTACAGGACACTTGCTGTGGTCCGATTTCTCATTCTTTTCCTATTTTATCCTTTCAGGGTAGGACTGTGAACCTTATGCCGTTGTTGTGTTCTCCTCCTCTTCCTCTTCCTCTTTATTTATATTTGACAGTACTGGGGATTGAACCTAGAGCCTTGTGTATGCCAAATTAGTGCTCTAACCACTGAACTATACTCGTAGCCCTTCTTATATTTTATTTATTTTTAATTTTATGTGTATGAGTGTTTTCCTGCATGTATGTAGGTGCACTTGTGTTGTTCAATGCCCATGGGGGTCAGAAGAGTGCATTAGATCCCCTGGAACTGGAGTTACAGAGGGTTAGCTGCCATGTGGGTGATACGAATCGAACCCGGGTCTTCTGCAAGAGCAGCCAATGCTCTTAACTGCTAAGCCATCTCTCCACCCCACCCCACCCCCTATTTTAAAGTTTTCCTTTTGATCATTGGTTCACTCAGATACCGAGACTGGCCTTGAGCTCACTCTGCGGCCCAGGCAGTCCTTGAGTTTGTAGTGTTTCTTTCTCAGCCTCCTGAGTAGCTAGGATTACCTTCAAGCCTAATTAATAAACTTGTTCTTTCAACATTTTTTTAAATTTTGAGACAGGGTCTTGCTATGTCACTCAAGCTGGCCTTAATTCTTGATCCTCTTGCCTCAGCATCCTGACTGCCAGGATTTCAGGTATGTGCAACCATGCCTTGCTTTTTTGATTTCTGTAGAGGCTCATATCTTAGTTTTCCCTGAGTCTCAGAGGAGTCTTGGGATTTGGACTTTTGAGCAGTGTTGGAACTATTAAAGACATCAGGGCCAGACATAGTTGTACGTTCATGTAATCCCATCATTCGGGAGGATGGCATTTATAAAACAGAGTTTCTGCTTTGGTGTTTCCCAGATCCCCAGAATGGAAACTGCATACTTGAAGAAATGCTTTGGAAATAGCCTGACCCAGGCACTGGCAGAGGTGGCAAGAGTGCGGCCCAGTGACCCCATAGAGTACCTGGCTCACTGGCTTTATCATTACAGGAATGTAACTAAAGCTACTGAAAAGGTGTGTATCTACGGGGTCTGCTTAGGGAGGTCTTAGCTTGCCCAGAACAACTTTCTATCCAATGGCTGGAGAGTTTCTCATGAGGATTGCTTAGGCCCCGGTATCCCTGAAGTGTGAAGACTCTGGAGGGTAACCCAGCTCAGAGGATTGTGGAGTTGGGTTTGGAGCTACTGTTATGGGAAGAAGCTCAGCAGGCCAGGTACACCCAGGTGGATCTCTAGTGAGGGAGGGCCCAGGCTAAGGCTTCCCACTGTGACCTGATTTGCCTCTGTCAAATTATACAGAGTAAGCATGAGATGCTGTGGCTGAAGGAGGAATATGAGTATAGCCTCAAGGAAGCTAAAATGGCAGAGATGCTGAAGCAAGAGGAGCAGCAGATTCAACTCAAGTGTGAAAAGTGTCACCAGGTAGGGAGAAGTTCAAGTGTGAAAAGTGTCACCAGGTAGGGAGGGAGATCAAGTGTGAAAAGTGTCACCAGGTAGGGAGGGAGATCAAGTGTGAAAAGTGTCACCAGGTAGGGAGGAAGATCAAGTGTGAAAAGTGTCACCAGGTAGGGAAGAAGCATGAGAATTTGGCATCACTACTCCTGGTGATGGCTTCCACGAAATCCACAAGGCAAAGCACACTGAGGCTCACCTCAGCCGGCTTGTACCTCACAGCCACACGCTAAGCAGAAACTGATCTCAACATCCATAAAATCCTTGGCAATGGAAAAATCAAATGTAAAAGGGAAAATTTATTCCAGACCCCAGAAAATATCATTAATGTTACTTGCTTAAAACTTCAGAGTGTGTATATATATATATATACACACACACACACACACACACACACACACACACAGCAAATATTTTTTTCATGTAAGATCCTTTGAGCTCTTTTCAAAATTATCCAGTCTTTTTCAGAAACCAAATTTGGTTATCAGTGTCTATTTTAGAAACAGTGTTCTACTTAACATTTTGTTTTTATTTTTTATATTTTATTATTTTGATTTTATGTGTACGAGTGTTTTGCCTGCATGTATGTAAGTGTATCATATGTGTACATTGTCTAAAGAGGCCAGAAGAGGGCATCAGATCCTCTGGAACTGGAGTTATAGTTATTAGCTGTCTTGTGGGTGCTGGGTACTGAACCAGGGTCCTCTGGAAGAGCAGCCAGTGCTTTTAACCACTGAGCCCTCTCTCCAGGCCCAATATGTTTTTATATGTTATGACTATTTATGTGTCTAGCACCAGGTGTCTCTTCTATGATGTAATGATGCTGTCTTGGTGAAGTTGTTCATCTAGAGATGAAAGCCTGATTTTTTTTCTCCACCAATTTAAATAAGAAGGCAGGAAAAGCAAGATCTCAGCAGTCAGCTGAGGTGGGTTGTTTTGTTTTGTTTTGGGTTTTTTGTTTGTTTGTTTGTTTGTTTTGTTTTTTGGTCTTTTTGAGACAGGGTCTCCCTGTAACCACAGTTGGCCTGGAACTCGCTATGTAGACCAGGCTGACCTAGAACTCACAGAGATCTGCCTACCTCTGCTTCCCAAGGCCTGGGATTAAAGGTATGCACCATCTGGCTTCAGCTGAGCTTTATAAAAAGCAGAGGCACCACCTGGAACCCTATAAATGTTTGTAAATAGAACACCAAAATTTGTAGTGGTAGGATCAGTTTGGGGAATATCTGCTGAGAGACCAAAAAGTTCATTTTTTTTTTTAAGTACCTAAGTTAAAGAGTAAAGATTATTCCTCTTATTTAAAAGGAAGAATGCACTTTAACAAACGTGGAGCTGCATGGGCAATTCAAACAAATCCATGAAGTGCAGTAGCCATTCAAATCACATTTAAAACCGTTCAAAGCAGAGTCCAGATGGGCTGCTGATCTCACTACCCGTAGGTTGAAGCTCAGATTCTGATCAGTTGTGAGATTAGCAGGGCTGCTTCAAAAGAGCAACGTGAATACAGCTAGAAGCTTCAGACAGGTCTGTAAAATGGCAGGTCCAGGGTTTACCACTAACTAGCAAAACTGACAGAAAAACTCATAGAAATAAAAAGTTTAAGAATCCTTTCTGCTGGTGTGTCCTCCTTATGATAGACTTTTGCAAATGGAGTTTTATAGTCTTTATTTTAAAAATTGCATGTTTGTAACAAGGTATGTGGAAAAGTGGGTGACCAAAAAAAGAAAGCTGATGCACACAGAGACACAGAGACACAGAGACACACAGAGAAACAGAGAGAGAGAGACAAAGAGACAAAGAGACAGAATACTCCCCAAAGGGGACACAAGATGGTGTCCTAGTTTGTCTGGCAGCGACTAAATAAATTTTTATGTGTTTGAGGGTGGGATGAGTTCCCTTTCCCCCTTGAATTTGCTGGTTTGGGCTATTGCGGGGTATTGGATAATCCAGACAAAGAAAGGGAAACTGATTATCAGGTTCCCACCGCCAAGTCTTTGTCTTGGAGAGGGAGAAGCAGGAAGCCAGCCATTCTAAATGTTTAAGTGGAAAATACATTTGTCTACTTAGAGCCTCTTTTCCCTGCCTGCCTGGGAAAAGGAACTGTCTCTGACTCCTGGTCCCTCAGTAATAATAGGAATCAGTTATTAACTCAGAATAGATGAAAGCAACTGCCTTCATCTGTCTGACAAGCAGAACTTTTATCTCCCACAGTCTTTTCTACAAACTCCTAAAGCTGCCATTTTACACAATACCTAGTTAGAGAATTCACTCAACTGCAACATTAGGATTGATATCTGATGTCTTCTTAACTGCCAATATAGCCTTAATAATATCTTCAATAAAGTTTTCTACGCTCACTAGCATTGCTAGTTTCCAAAGCCAGCTTTGAACACATGAAAATATCAACCTTATTTATTGATACTAAGATACCCAGTATCTCTATAAACAACTAGTAGATTTATTTTTAAAGCTAAATGTTTTGTCAGTAAATTAAAAGGAAGATATACACCAGGTTTGGTGGTACAGGCTTGTAATCCCAGCCACGTGGAGGGTTGAGACAGGAAGATCCAAAGTTTGAGGACTGCCTGGGCTACATCGTGAAGTCAAGGCCAGCTTGGGCAAATCAAATCTTTAAAAGGAGAACTCAGTGTTAGTTGTCTTGTATGTATGAGTCGTAGGTTCAATACAAAATGAGGTGGGGGGAGAGAGAGAGAAAGAGAGAGAGAGAGAGAGGAGAAAAAAGAGACAGAGGGAAGGGAAAAGGAGAGAAAGGAAAAAAGGAAGGGAAGGAGGAAGGAAATGGAGGAGAGAGAGAGAGAGAGAGAGAGAGAGAGAGAGAGAGAGAGAGAGAGAGAGAGAGAACCAAGGTTGGCCAGGAACTCATGGTTCCTCTTACCTCAGCTTTAATTATTAAGATTATCAGTAATGAATAATCACACTTAAACAGGAAGTTAGTTTTATAGTTTTTTTTTTTTTTTTGGTCATCAGACACATCCAAACCATGTGCTCCAGGGTAGCTATGAATGTGGCCAAACATGCTGCAAAATATTTTTTTTTGTTAATTCCACTGTGCATTTCTCAAGCTTGAACTTTGAAGACAGCCACATTTTGCAATGGCAAAAGGTTGGCTCTGCTTGGAAGGGAACTCTCCCTCCAGAAGATTCATCTTTGAACAGTTGTTTGAGAATGGAAGAGATGAGGCTCATTAAAGAAAGTTATCATTACTTACTGTCCACACCAATCATTTCCACACACTACATTTTCCTGTTACCAGAAATTGAAATATGTAAGTTAAGGAACAATTCCCAAACCACCACCCTTGTTTTATGTAAGCATTATTACAGAAAACTTTGCTCACAGTAATAATTTGAATTAGCTTTTTGTGTTACATTCAAGTTTTATGCCCTGAAGAGATATTCCTTAGCAAGATTTAGATAAAAAGTATGCTGATCTTTCACTTTGCAAGAGACAGGCAAGTTTAAGGGAAGATGGGAAGTGAGAGCTGGCCAGGGCTAGACTGTGTGTGATCTCTGTTTGAAAAAAGAGTTTGTACCAAGTTGTAGTTATGGGCATTGATTCCTTTTGTTAGAAGGAAATATGGAAAACCTGGGACTGATCTGAAACAAAGCTGGATGAACTGCTTCTCTGACAAGGGAGAGCATCCTAACTCAGGTGTGAGTTATGTCCAAATAAAATTTGAAAGGATTAGGCAAAGAGGTGGAAGGGAGTCATCAAAGAAGGCAAGATTTTAAGTTCTGGTCTCTGATTGACTCAAGTACTGCTTTGGGTTTCAAAGTACTGCTTGCTATGGCTGGCCTTCAAATTTTGTGACTCGAGTGTTGGGAAACTTGGTTTTAGACAGGCCTGGGATGGTTGGACTGCTAGTCTACCTGATAGGCTTATATGTTTCTATTCAAAGCTTTGCATGCTTTTTTTCCCTTCATCTTTTTTGCTTTTTATTTTGCTTTGCTTTTTGCTATTGTTGTTATTTTGTTTGTTTGGTTTCGTTTTCTCCCTTTTGTTTTGAGACGGGTCTCATTTTGTAGCTCTGGCTAGCCTGGAACTCATCATCTAGCCCAGGATGGCCTAAAACTTATGACAGTCCTCCTGTCTGCCTCAGCCTCCCAAGTTCTAGGATTTCAGGCATGGGTCACCATCTCTAGCTTTT